CCTCATTATCTAAGGAAAACACTCAATTCCATGACTCCAGGTATGGCCAGTACTGCCGAAAACAGGACTAGCTTCATGATACTTCCAATGGGATTCCCACAATGTTTTCTTCCTATGTCTGAGAATTACCCTCCACAATGTTATATTTCTCCAAGAGCACACTATTTGAGTTCATGTGTTCTCACAATTGTTGAACATTCACATATATAGACTTGGGATCCTGTAAAAATATATATTCTGGTTAAATGTGGTTTTGATGGGTCCTGAAGCTCAGCATTTCTAATGCCAAGACCACACGTCCAGATAGGTGAAACTCTACAAAAATTAATGGGGTAAGGTAGGAGATATAGTTTAAAATGTGAATTTGGATTAGAAATCTTTTGTTTCCAGTCTCTTGGTCCTTTTATTTTTAATTAATTGAAATATTATTTATTAAAGATGTACTGTAGCATACTTCAGCATTCCTCATAAGATAATCAATTGTGACAAGATAAATGTATGATTAGCCTTAGCCGATCAAGGGCACTGTTCATCTGTCACAGGTAACTGACTTTTTAAGTTGATTTTAGAAAAAGTCTAAGTGAGGTTAAATGAACAGCACAAGAAAAGAGAGGAAAAGAGGGAAAGGTCTCTGAACATGCCCAGTGAATTTCTGACCTTTCTCCTCAGGAACAATAGACAATCAACAGAGAAACCTACACAGGCACAAAGATCATTTAACCAATTTATACTATAGTGATCACTGTGTCAGGAGATGAAAAAAATCACAAAAAACAACAAAGGAAGTGCAAAGAGAAGACAGCTGTCCAAGAGAGGGGTCCTTGGCAGTCAAGCCCTTCTGTGACCTCAAATAAGTAGCTGCCCTTCGACAGGTCATTCAATCTCAGGGTTTTTTCATCCATAAAATAAAGTCAATATTCCTCTTTGCCTTCTCCTATGAGTCTGTTTGAACAGCAAATATGGCAGCAAGTGTAAAGACAATCTCTCCCCATACAACTTTTCGGGTGCTTATACTCAAGTGATCAGTGCTGGGAAAACTGTCCCCAGTTCCCTGTGTCTCGATATTCATTTCTCTCTGAAGATGACTTTCCTCACATCAAAACATATTTTGAAATATTTAGAGCAACTTTTATTTTCCCGATGAATCTTTCTAAATAAGGATGAGATAAACAGACATTTCTACCTATTACAAGTCCAAGGAGCTGCATTCTGAGTTTATCTGAGTTTATGCTTGAGGAGCCACAAGTGACAATATAATAAGGGGCGAATCTGAAATCTCAGTGTAAGAGCAAGAAGATTCACTTAGTGAAAAGGTCAGAGGAGTTTAATGTCTTAGAGCCCAATGTCCACTGCCTTTGAGCTGTGCTGCTCTTAGATTTCTTCATTTCCTCCTCTGTAAACTCACAGTATATTTCTTCTATTTTTCAAAAAAAATATTTTAATTTTATAAAATTGTTATGCTAGTTCATTACAGATAGTATTCAAACACCAACCCCACCACCGAGCACCTTCCCACCACAATAAGAGGAAAGTGTGTGAAGATTGTTGTATTTCATCCTGGAACCATTGAAGTCCTTGTATAAGAGATTACAAACATATATGTTACCCCCCAAAAAATGAGTGCTACTTTTGGTACATCAGTGGGCTAGAGTATAAGAGGTCACGCTGCTGAATTATTGGCCAGGCGCTCAGGAAGTTCTATGTCACTCTCTTCCGGGAGCTTTATTTCATAGTTTCTGGATCATGATCATTGATGAGATTATATGGAGCCAGAGGCAGTTTATGGGTGTGGCTGCCATGCTACTGGAAAACTGGGGAGCTGACGGAAGAAGGCTCAGTCTTGTTGTAAGCAAGCTTGGAGATATCAGTCAAGGGTTCACCATACCTGAGTTTTTCTGCATGTTCCTCCATAAGTGAGACTCATTCTAGCCTGTGGAGAGCAACCTTGAGCATGGCTGTGCAGTTGGGTCTGGAGATTTTCGGCTCCTGGGGTTCTGCTAGGGAGGTGAGGGAAACTCAACCTGCCACCTCTGAGTTGCCCCCGTCTCACGATATATTTCTACCTCAAAGGTGCTATGACTATTGAATAAGGAGAGGCTGGAGTGATAGTACAGCAGGTAGGGCATTTGCCTTGCATGCAGACAACCGGATTCAATTCCCAGCATCCAATATGGTCCCCTGAGCACCACCAAGAGTAATTTCTGAGTGCAAAGCCAGGAGTAACCCCTGTGCATCGCCGGGTGTGACCCCAACAAGCAAAAAAAAAAGAGAGAGAGAAGAGAATTTTTAAAAGCTTAAATTAATATTAAAATAGAAATATTACTTATTTTTATCAAAAATAAATGAAATTGTCTTTTTATTTTTTTAAACATTGAGTCTTATCCTGCTAGATCCTCTTACACAGTGCTTAAATTGCATATAGCTATACAGACAGATATGTAATTTCTAGCTATAAACTTTTATATGTATAAACACTGAAGTATATACTCATATATGCATGTAAAAACTTTGAAATTTGTGGAGCTATTGACTGTATGAAAAGTAATTGCCCAAAAATAGATGGATTATGGAAGCAAAAAATTTTACAATAATTATATAACAGAAATAAAGCAATGGAAAAGCTAAAAACCTTCCACTTAGAAAAGATCCTCAAAATCTTAAGTATTTGATTAATATAAGAAATTAGGAATAGGCAGCCCTTGTAAAAACACTTGATTTAACTTAAGTTCTGAATAAATATTATCTGCTAATATCATTATCTTCCAAGAAATATTGGAATTATTTTTACCAACAATTTTTATCAACATAGAAGTTTATTTCCATGGCAATGTGTCTTTTAAGAATAGTACATCTCTACATGAGGCACTCTGCTGAATTAATGAAATATGAAAGAAATAAGACAACTTCTGACAGCAAAAAAGAAAAAGAATAGTAAATCTCTAATGGACTACGGAGTATACTAAAACAAATTCATTAATGGAGAACAAATACCTACAAAAGTTTTCCTAGCTACAGTGATAGCAAGCAATAAATCTAGATTTCCAAACTCGAGTTTTCTAATTCCCAATTCAATGCTCGCTATGACACTAGGCTATCTCCTCCACCTCATTCTGTTGTCTATGTATTTGAAGTAGGTAGTTAATAGGACTTTGTGTATTTATGCTACCAAAGCTCTAGAGTAGATACCTGAGTGGGTTGAGGGGGAAGTAGGCAATGAAAGATTTGGAAGTAATTTTTACAATACAGAAGAGTTACAGTTACTTGACCCCAGTTGCTAGGGCAAGCTGCAAGCCTTCTCTCTTAGGAATAAGAGGACTAGAACAACAGCTCCCCTCCGCAACTCCACATCACCACCACCACTTCAAACTTACTGTGTGTGAAGGAAAACCCCATTCTCCTCCACCTTTGTAAACCCCTCAATATGCAAAAGTGTATAGAGTGTTTTCTGCTGAAGAGCCACTATTCCTATCATATCATCCTTTCTGAGATTTTGTGTCATGTCAAGATGTTCCCCTTGGTACTGGCTTAATGGATCACTTTAAAAGTACACATAATTGCTTCAAGAAGTCTTTTACCAGAAGGGCCAAATGAGACAGTGAATGGAGCAGGACAAGTTGAGCTAAAAGCCGTGCTGTGCTGATAGCTGTAGAAACACGTAAAATTCCAAGGAGGGCTGAACTGGAGGCCTGTGTCCTAGATGGGGGTCTCTGTAGATAATAACAATATCAGCAGATAATATTTATTCAGAGGGGTACCGATAGTACAGCGGTAGGGCATTTGCCTTGTGCACAGCCAGCCTGGCCGAACCGGGTTCGATTCCTCTGCTTCTCTCAGACAGCCTGGCAAGCTACTGAGAGTATTCAATATACCAAACACAGTGACAAGAAGTCTCACAATGAAGACATTACTGGGCCCGCTTGAGCAAATTGATGAACAACGAGAGGGCAGTGTGGCCAGATGATTTATTCAGAACTTAAGTTAAATCAAGTGTTTCATAAGTGCTTCCTATACCTATTCTATTACATTAATATTCTGATGATCTTTATGTTAACCCTAAGTTGGATCTAAGTAGCGTTGATCTTGGCATACCTCCACTTCTGCTTTTGGTCTCTTGTCCATCCATGTCATATTCTCCCTCTAAATGCCTTGTGATGATTTTTTTTTCTGATTTAACTGACTAATACATACTTAGGTATAAATTTATACTGTCAAAAAGAAGCTCATCTCAAGTAATTGAGGGAAAATCCTTTGAAAAAATTTTAACTGACTTCTTATTTTATATCCTTAGATGCTGGAGTGACAGCACAGCAGGTAGGGCGTTTGCCTTGCATGTGGCTGACTTTGCCGGCCTGAGTTCGATTCCTCTGCCCCTCTCGGAGAGCCCAGAAAGCTTCCAAGAGTATCTCGCCCACAAGGCAAAGCTTGGAAAGCTACCCGTGATGTATTTGATATGTCAAACACAGTAACAACAAGTCTCACAATGGAGACGTTACTGGGCCTGCTCGAGCAAATCGATGAACAACGGGAGGACAGTGCTACAGTGCAGTGCTACAGATACTATAGAAGATAGAGGATATAAGGGGAAAAAAGAACATGTCAAAATCTTAGTTCCTTAAAAAAAATACCATTAACATAGTTTTTGGATTAAGGTAGTATTTGGACTCTGTAAATACAAGTCCAGGGCCAGAAATGTAGCTCCATGGTAGAATATATGCCCTGTAGGTATATGGCTCTGAGTTCAATCTCTAGTATCGCACGGTGACAGTCACAGTCCTCCCGTTGTTCATCTATTTGCTCGAGCAGGCCCAGTAACGTCTCCATCATGAGACTCGTTGTTACTGCTTTTGGCATATTGAATACATCACGGGGAGCTTGCCAGGCTCTGCTGTGCGGGCGAGATACTCTTGGTAGCTTGCCGGGCTCTCCGAGAGAGGCGGAGGAATCGAACTTGAGTCGGCCATGTTGGCTGTGTGCAAGGCAAATGCCCTACCACTGTGCTATTGCTCGCTTCGGCAGCACATATACTAAAATTGGAATGATACAGAGAAGATTAGCATGGCCCCTGAGCAACGATGACACGCAAATTCATGAAGAGTTCTAGTATCACAAAGTAAAACAAAAACCAACAGTTCCATGAGAATTCTTGAAGGACACCTCCAACACAATTGTTTTCCTCAAAGCATGTATACATATATATATATATATATATATGCATATATATAATAAATAAGTTCTCTAAAAATTAAATGACAAGAGCAATGGGGCAAGATTAAGTGAGGTTGTGTGCACAAAATTTCCCCGATAGTGTTTGGCATGCAGTCGCTTATATATAAAGCAGTGATCATGTCCTTCTTAATCCTGGGTGATAGCACACTTGCCCCATTAATTTTCTAAGGCAAATTCCTAGATGACCCTGGGTTGCTTCCTCATAGATGACTCAACAGAAAGACCCACAAAGACCAGTTACATTAGTTACTAAAAACTGTCAGTTCAAAACATACCCTCCACTGAATGCTCTTGAGATAAATAACAAAATTTCATTAGTCATTTCATATATCTATATATATATTTATTTATTTATTTATATGTGTGTAAGAAATATGAAAATATAAGAAATAAGAAAATATAAGTAATATATAGTTGTATATATCATGTTGTCCTCTGAATAGTGCTATAAGGATATATTTAGAGAAAAAGCTTGTTTCCCAGCTTGGGCTGGAGGTAAGAAGGGTAGGTGTTAGAACAGCCAGTGGTATGGTCAGAGTCATAGTACGGTGGGTAGAATGCTTGCCTTGTGTATAGATGACTGAGGTTCAATCCCTATTGCCTCATATGGTCTCCTGAGCCCCACTAGGAGTGATCCTTATGTGCACAGCCAGGAGTAAGGTCTGAGTACCACCATGTGTGTCCCCCAAAACAAACAAACAAACAAACAAAAAGAATAGCTGATGATGCCCAGTCAGGGGTCCAGGACACAGATTCTCTGCAACCTTGACACCTCTGCTGCATTGACCATTCATTGTCAACCAATCCAAACTGCATCTATGTCTCAGTGAAAAGGGTGACTTGAAGCTGAGAGAGAGAATAGTTTTAAAATGCTGGAAGAATAGTTCCTCAATATTTTCTGTGCTATTATAGCATCACAGTCATAGACACAACACATTTTTAAGTTTCATCTGCATTGATAATGTATTCACACTTTCTTAAATTTATACAATCAGCAGAGCACTAAACCAAGCTTTGATCTCTAGTGTTTGCTGATTTCCATTGTAGAATAGCTGCCACCAGGGTCAATTCCAAGCTCCCGCAGTGATATCCCTGAATGTGCAGTTGGAAAGAGATATGCAGTAGCACACTAGAGTATATATAATTGCTATCAATAGCCCCAAGAGCATACATAACAGCCAAATTAAGTATGCTAATCATAAAAAGGAGTTGAGTCTAATACTTCTAAAAAAATAATTCGTGTAAATTTGTGCAATTAAAGTTTCATAACTGAGAATTGATTCACAAATCACTCCTTCTGAGCCAACACGAACCTTCTCCAGCACACTGCTAGATCAGTCCTCACTGATACTACACAAGTATCTCACATATCACCGAGTCTCCCATCTATTTATAGATCTTTCACATTTCAAACATGTCCTGGTCACCAACTCTCACTCTCAATTCTGTATTCATAAAGCTGTGATATGGCAGCATAGTATAAATTCACTTTTTGGAAAAACTAGCACAGGGCCCTTTATATTATTTTTATAGTACTTTTACCTACAAAACTATTAATATATTTGGATATGGTGGGCTGATCTGGACCTCCACAGAGAACATAAAATAAAGTGCATACATAGTCTTTTAACTTTCTAAAATCAAAACCTGTCTCAATCTAATTCACATCTGGTCCCAAGAGTTTGGAAAAGAGATAATGGAGATTGTGTAAACTTCATAAAATATAAAGTCACTCTTCCTCATTAAAAATGCCTTATCATTACTTCTGAGATAGAATCTAAATTCATATATATATGTGTGAATTTAGAATCTAAATTCATATATATGTGTATATATATATGTATATATATATATATAGCCTGGAGTGATAGCACAGTGGATAGGGCATTTGCCTTGAACATGGCCGACCTGATTGACTCGAGTTTGATTCCTCCGCCCCTCTCGGAGAGCCCGGCAAGCTACCTAGAGTATCTAGCCTGAACAGCAAAGACTGGCAAGCTACCCATGACGTATTCGATATGCCAAACACAGTAACAACAAGTTTCACAATGTTATTGGGCCCACTTGAGCAAATTGATAAAATATATATATACATATATATATATTTATGCATATATATATATCACAGAAAGTCTGCAAGCAAGATATAGAGAACTCCTGGTATTTTCTACATTGTTTTCCTATTCCAAACTACTCTTGGAGTCTCACCAACACCAATTAAAGATTGATCTGAACCCTCTGATGTACCATATCCTATCATTTATCACTTCATCTTAGTACTTTTTCTTCCATAGTTTCTATTTCTCATGTGCAAAATGGTCATCACAGAGACAAAGCTCTGGTTTTCATTTTGTGGGACACACCCTCTTGTGCTCGACTTACTCCTGAATCTGTGCTCAGGAATTTTTCTGTGCTCAGTTAACCATACACAGTGTTGGGGATCAAGACAAAGTCAGCTGTGTGTAACACAAGCACTTTAACCCCTGTTCTCTCTCTGGCCCCAAAGCCACCACAGTTATAGTGAAATAAACAAGTTTACTAATAGGAAGATAATTTGTAAAGTGTTTTTGAAAAGGATTTTACCCTCATCAGTTTGAAATCAAAACAGTTGATTTAAAGCCGAGGCTTGTTTGTTTGTTTGTTTTGGACCACACCAGTGATTTTCAGGGCTTATTCCTGACTACACACTCAGGAATTACTCCTGGTGGAGCTCCAGGGACCATATGTGGTGCCAGGGATCAAACCAAGGTATCTCTCCTGGCCTGGTGATGCTTTTTTAACTGTTGAATGAACAGCAGTTGAGAAAGGAGAGAGTTCGTCTACGGCCATACCACCCTGAACGCGCCCGATCTCGTCTGATCTCGGAAGCTAAGCAGGGTCGGGCCTGGTTAGTACTTGGATGGGAGAAAGGAGAGAGTTATGCTATATCAAGAAATAAAAGGAGTTTAAAGTTAATGGAAACTGACAGAAATAAATCCAAATTCTCTCTCTCTCTCTCTCTCTCTCTCTCTCTTTCTCTCTCTCTTTCACACACACACTCTCCCACAAATGCTAAGCTTAAAAACTTAAGGGACTTGGAAGAGTTACAGTGTTTTTAACTCACAAGAACTGGATGGATGTTTCTCTGTTTATTATGAAAGAGAAAATGGGCAAGAGAAACCTTAAGCATTCATTATTCTAAGCCAGTATTTTTCATGTTTGCTTGTTTTTTGCTTTCTTTTGCTATTGTTGTTTGACTTGAATGAGGAGGTGTTTTTGATTTATTTGTTTTTGCTGTTACCATTTTGCCTTTCTCTACCCTGCAGCAACCACAATCTCAGAACAAACAAGTGAACCAAACGTTTTGAGTGTGAGGTCATTTAAAATCTTTCCATACTCCCTGCCTTTGAACAAGAGTCTTCTACCTTATGCTTGAACAGTCACAGTGACTGGAATCCTATTCACTGAGTCCAGGGATTGAATCATCTCCTCTATAAATGTCAGTTATTTTCATTACAAAAAAAAAGCCTAAGTCAACTTGAATGCTTAAGAGACAACGAGAAACTGGCAAATTATTTCTAGAGTAGAAATTACCGGAATCACATAATTTTGGGAAGTAAACAGGGGAAGGAATAAGAGTACTTAATGGAAAAGAAGACATAGAAAAAAACACAAACAATTACTGGTTAAAGAGGAGATATAGAATCTAAATTCAAATGAACAATGTCTACAAGCAAACAAGAATATAAGATTGTTGGAATTCTATGTGTACAGCATGCATCATGCATCCTTTTTCATTGTTTTTTACTATGAATGTGTACTACAAAGCATAAAAGAAGTAGAAAACTGGTTGCCAAATAGTTCTTGCCGGTCAACGCTTTAAATTTTTTATTATGTTAAAATTGGTGCAAAACCTGGGTCTTACTAGTAGAATTGAACCAAAAAAAACCTTCCAACCGCATCAAAATGGGGAGAAGAAACAAACAAAAGCTTCCTCAAAAAAGAAATATAAATGGCCAAAAGGCACATGAAAAAATGTTCTACGTCACTAATCATCAGCGAGATGCAAACCAAAACAACAATGAGATATAATCTCACATCACAGAGACTGGCCCACATGAAAAAGAACAAGAACAACCAGTGCTGGAACAGATTAGGAGAAAGTAACTCTCTTTCATTGTTGATGGGAATGCCAACTGGTTCAGCCTTTTTGGAAAATAATATGGACATTCCTTTAAAAAACTAGAAATTGAGCTTCCATATGACACAGCAATACCACTTCTGGGAATATATTCCAGGGGTGCAGAAAAAGCATAGTAGAAATGACATCTGCACCTGTATGTTCATTAGCCAGAATCTGGAAACAATTCAAGTGCCCAAACAGATGACTGGTTAAAGAAACGTTGGTACATGTACACAATGAAATACTATGCAGCTGATAGAAAAGATGAAGTCATGAAATTTGCTTATAAGTGGATGGTCATGAAGAGTACCATGCTAAGTGAAGTGAGTCAGAAAGAGAGAGACAGACATAGAATGAGAGCACTCATTTGTGGAATAAAAAATAACATAATACGAGACTGACACTCAAGGACAGTAGAGACAAGGGCCAGAAATATTGCTTCATGGTTGGAGGCCAGCCTCATGAGTTGGGGGAGAACTCAATTGGAACAGAAAAGGGATCACTAAGTCAACGATTTTTAGAGGAATTGTTCAGGATGGGAGATGTGTGCTGAAAGTAGATAAAGGACCAAACATGATAGCCTCTCAGTATCTGTATTGGAAACCATAATGCCGAAAAGAAGAGAGAAAATATGGGGGAAATTGTCTGCTATAGAGCCAGGGGGAGGGTTGGGATGGGGGTAAGGACGGCAGATACTGGGGACATTGGTGTTGGGAAAT